TCACAACAGAGTATCTTGTCAACACTGTTCCTTAGAAACATATGTATAGAGTCCACAGAGTCCATGAGAGGGTGGTTTCATCAATATGTTGTGAGATATGCAGTGTATTAGCCATGATCCTTCTAAAGAAAGCATATTTAGATTTGCAAGCAACAATTACTTCTAAAGACCCTTCTGCATTAGGTTGCTGCTTTTTATATATAAATATTTCTAAAAACATTGTTCTACAAAAATCCAGACACTTCATTATTTTAATCAAAAATGAAGAGACAATACTTAAAACCTTTAACAGGAAAACAGTTCCATCATCACATATGCTTGAATTCCCACATAAACAATACTGTGTTTAAAAGGGCAAAGGTAAGTCTGGCATGTTAATATATATCCAGGTGGACACTGTCAGTAGCTTCCTCTGGCTGCTATTCACATCAGTCATCTACTAGTCTGAAATGAGCTCTGCTACAGAATGTGGCAGAGGGAAGAAAGCAAAACCAGAAAAATCCTCATTGTGTTATGCATTCTGCAATTGAGAAACTCAATTTCCTCTATTTCCTGTGCGCCATTCTTCATGGCAGAATTAAAATTCATAAATAAGAATGAATTATCTCACTTTGGTTTCCAATATTTCATTCTGAATTCATGTTATATGATTTCCAGACTTTATTTTTTAATTTTTTAAAAGTGGTAAAGGTCTATCCTTGGGCTGTCTTCAGTTCAGTATCTACTTCCTTCTCTCCTGTTTCTTCCCTTTCCCTCCATCAGTCCCTCTCCAAGGGCTTTAACTCCTTTTCTAAACCTCTCCCCACCATTCTACATCTCTTCTTTCCTCCCTTGTTCTATTGCCAAACTACCCTTTCTTTGCACCTGCATAAAAAAAATAAAATAAAAGTTTGATACATGAACTCAACAGTCAAAAAAAATCAAAATCTACTAATAAGGTAAGAGGAAATGAGGAAACCCATGCTACACCTTATGGTATTGGAAAATCTTCCATGCCAATTTTTTTTTTTTTTTTTTTTTTTTTTTCAGAAGTGACTGGCTGCTGGAAGTGGTGCCCATATTTCTGCCGTAATAACCAGGTGTTTCTGTTGTATTATACACTCGCAGAAGAAAAATACTCTCCGTTAAAACCAAGTGGATGTTTTCATGCACTATCCAATGCAGTGGCACCACCGGCAAGGTTAATGGATGACTGCTAAATACCAACAAGCTGAAGCTCAAAGTTGTTCTCGTGCTTTACTGATGTCGGAAATCTGGACCTGTCACGTCAATGACAAGTTTTTACTTTTTTTTTAGAAAATACATTGCTGATATTAATTGATTTAAACATTGCAAGCATAAGGAGTCTTTCACAATTACATATTTACATGCTCATATACTCACTAGGCCCTGAAGCAGCCTGAGTGATCGATCACTTGATGTTCTGCCCAAGAAGCAGAGGTGCAAAGGCTTCTGCACATTAGTGGGAGGACATGCAGATATTAGTGTCTCGGAAGAAATTACTCAAATTAAGGCTTTAAAAGGATTCAATTGCAAGTCTAAAATATACACTGATTCAGCCTTCTTTTACTGACAGCGAATTCGGTAGATTCATGCAGAGTTTGCACCTTCTTTAGAAAGGAGGTAGTGTCAGTATGATTGTATTCAGTCTAACTGAACACATCTCTGTAATTAAAAAATACTTCTAATGAGTGAAAATGCAAGGGATTCTGTCCATCTGGGTTCTATTTAAACAATCGACCCTGGCCCTTGTGTGACAATATTTAGCTGAGGAAAAAAGCAATTTTCAGCTCTAGAAATACATATATAAGAATGTTCAATGAAGAATATACAACTCTCTACCATCTGCTAGCTACAAAAAATATGCAGCAGCCAGGGTTCAGGGGTTATTGTAATTATTTGTCCATGTTTACTGTTCTGCTGATTTAATTTATGAATGCAGCCAGTCATTAGTGCTGTTACAGTAGAGGCATACAGGGTGAACAATATTATGGCCCAGTGGTTAGCTGGCTTGAATCAGTCTAGTTTTCCAAAAGAAAAGATGACAAACTGAATACTCAGTGAATTCCATTTATTTTCTGTGACTTAAATTAGTTTCCAGTTCTTAATTTGTAGTTTATTTTAATTTAGTGCAGTTCTAATATTCAATAGGTTTTTAAAACATAGCATGGGTAGTGGTTTTGTTGATGAATGGTGTCTTAAATGGGCTTCCTTTTTCCATTATATCAAGACAGAGTTATCTGTATTAGCAAAATACACCATAGCAAGTTCTTAACCTTTCTACAATTGCTGTCTACAATGAACACATTTGAATACAAATTACTCAGTCATTATGCAGAATACATAACTCATATTTTGGTAAGTTAGCCAGGTTCAAGCTTATTTAAATAGCAGGAAAAGTTTTTGCTAACAGGGTTAAATTTATGCAATGCCAAGTATGTAGTACTCAGATTCATCCAAAATCAGGATGAGGGAGGGACTCCTCTACCACAGGTACCACATCACCTCCTCTGTCTCAGGACAGGGAACAAGCAGGCACATGGACCCAGACATACAGAGCAGGGGCTGCTGCTCCCTCCCTCCCTCCCTGTACAAGGTCTCACAGGCAGAAGAGCACAACTGCCAGATCCCTGCACACATATGAAGGTAAAGGCAGCTAATAGCTGCTTTCTTTATCATGCAGCCCATCTGTCCTTTCCAAGTGACACCTAACCTTGACCTTAATCTGTGTCTTAACTCCTTTCATATCATACTGTACTGCCGTGGATCTTTTTTCATTTTGAATCCTCTTTCCCCAGCAACTCCAGTCTTTTCACATGTAGTTTAATTTTTCTTCTGAAAGCACTTAAATCTTTTTGAGTAGTGCTTGGATGGTACTGTCCCACAGAGGAAGGGACTTGTCATGGTTTGAGCCCAGAGGACAACTGAGCACCATGCAGCTGTTCACCCACCCTTTACCCACCCAGTGCTGGGAGGGAGAAGATGAATCAAAAGGCTCTGGAACCCAGATGAGGACAGGGATGGGTGGCTCACCTCTTATGGTCACAGGCAAAAGACAGACTCATTAGAGGAAGAAAAAAGAACTTTGCTTTAGGTCAAAACACTAACAGCAACAACACTTAACAGACAGACAATGAGAAGTGTTACGACATTTTAAAAACACCTACCTGCACCTCTCCCTTCTTCCCAGGCTCAATTTTGTTCTCAGTATCTCTACCTCCTCTCCTCAGCAGTGCAGAGGCAGGGAATGGGGGTGATCCCTGCTAGCTGATGCCTGCAAAGAGTTGGTGCTAATTGCTGTAAGATGGACCCAAGGACATAGTTGCTATAAGGGGCCTCAGGTAAGGATGCACCCAAGAACATGATTTTTGCAGCTGTGGTGGGTACATCCTGGGGAGGGCAGAGAAACCAACAGACGCTTGTGGCAGGCAAAGATAACAAAGCCGAGAAACTTTACAGACAGCAATGAGCCAAGATGAGGCATTATATGAAAAAATCCTCAGAGTTCATGGAAAGGACACTAAGACACCTTTTCAACAACCAATAGGGACCACCACAGACCACCAAAACCCCCATGGAAGCCCCCCAGAGACCCTTCCCCAAATGTCAATAGGTTTGTGCAATGTATTAACATAGGCATTAGGTCCTCTGGAAATAGGTGTATACTTCACAGAAATTACATGAATATTCATTTATTGTATATAACAAGTGTGCTTTTGTGTTTCAACATGCACGTTAGGTGGAATGATCCCCTGTGCTTCCAGTGCTGCAATAAAGAATGCTGCCTTCTAAAACTTTAATCTAAGTCTTAGGGGGTTCTTTTGAGACCAAATTTATGGTAACAGGGGGGGTTTCGGTCAGTCCACCACTTCCTTCAAGGGAGGGGGAAGCACTCCCTTACTCCATGTGGTTCCCCTCTCACAGGAGACAGTCCTCCACAAACTTTCTCCATCATGAGTCCTCCCAACAGGATGCATTATTCTCAAGATGTTCTGCTATGGGTCACCCCTGCATGCCGCAGTCCTCCCAGCACTGAACTACAAGTGGGGGCTGCTTTTTCCCATAGGGTCCAGTCCTTCTTTGGGTGCAGCCAGCTGCTCCAACGTGTGGAGTCCTCCACAGCCTGCATGCAGATTCCTGCTCCACTGGCGACCTCCATGATAGCAGGAAGACATCAGTGTTTACATAGGTGTCTTTCTGGTAACCCTTGCTCACAAGTCCCAATCTCCTCTGAGTTTCCCCTTCTTAAATACATAATTGCAGAGGCGCAGCCCCCATCACTAGTTGGCTCTGCCTTGGCCAGAGGTAGGTCCAACTTGGAGCTGACATGAGCTTACAAGAAACTTCTCACAGGGGGTCACCACTGTAGCCCACTCCCCTGTTACCAAAAATCTGAAGTGCTGAGGTTTGGACAACCAGCCCAAGCCAGAGTTGACCTATAGATGAATCCTGTATATTTTATAACTGAAACCATTGAGCTAGTAGGTATTGTACTAAGTTATAACAACCCACTTATGCTGATGTAAAAAGTGCTAAAGCTTTGAAATACTGCAGCCTGAACAACAGGCCCCAAGCCGAAGCTGCTAACTTGTTATGTAATCATTAACAAAGTATGTAAACTCGCTAGTGAGAGATGCAGCTTAGACAAAATATAATCAGTAGTGAGGAGAGAATGTATCCAGCTTCCCTTGTTCAGCCTTGTTCTAGGCTGAGAACCCAAGTATCTGTCCTTGTTAGAAACTCCCTTGGTTTTCCCCCCCAAGCCCTGGCCAGTCTTCGTGTGGAATT